TATATATATATATTACTTTTAACTAGCATGCAATAATGATTCTCCGTGTTTATGTAAAATGAAATTGATATTTCCACAAAATGGGTAATTATTATATTATTTTTAAAGAGGTAGATATATTTTATAGATATATTTTTTCTATTTTATCCTAAATATAAATTAATAAAAAAAATAAAATACAATACAAAATATAATTATCTCGGTAAAAGTAAATATCAAAATAATATTTTTTTATTTATATTTTCTTATAGATTAAATTTAAAAATGCCCGGTCCACTTTCTAGTTTCTGGGTAGGGTTTAAGCTTAAATTTCCGGTTCTCGGTTAACAATCCTTTTCTCATGTTGCTCTACTTCGAGCTTCACAATCACAGTTCACAGGTCAGGTAACCAACATAACACTCTCTCATTCACATGTAGTTTTTCAAATTGCGATCAATATCTTCTGAACCCTAACCTTCCATTGGAGTAAAATCATTTATTCTGAATGCAATTTTGTGTTGCAACGCTAGATCCATCAAACTTATATATGCTTCCAATTTATTCAATCAAAACCTTGAATCATCGTGGTAATAAATTTAGCTTCATTATTTTTATGGATGTTTGAAGATTATTTGTTATTATACTTGGTAATGGTGTTTATCTGAAACTCTCAGTCTTACAAAATTATGTTGGTGTTTGATATCATGCGAATTTTTTTTTACAGATTCAGAACACCACAAAGTGATATCAGTGTATATACTAATGTAAATTTCCCTCCCAAAAGTAAGGGATGTAGGCAGTGCATAATCGAAAATCAGAATTCAAAATTTGAAATTTCAAACTAAAGATCTACACTTCACTAAGAATTTGCCACAAGTATTTGAGATATCGTATTGGTAGGAAGCAGAGCCCAGCAAATCAGAAAAAAGACAAAACGTTAGTTTGATTCCGACATTCAGAAGTTGGGAAATATGGCGTGGAGGCTTTTGACAGCACGGCCTCTCACTAAATTTAACTTCAACAACAATCTCTCCTCAAATTCTTGGCTTCTCACACCCCTCATTTTCTTCTCCAATTCCTTATTCCCCAAAACAAGGTACTTCTGTCTCTCCATCCTGAGCTCTATATCAGTAATTTCAAAGTGTTTCACATTTCTTGGAATAGTCATATTTGAATACTGCACAGCACAAAATTATTGCATGTATTATCTATTTTACTTGTGTTTTCACCAACTTAACTAAGATGGGAGTGCTAGAAAGACAAGCCTCAGATTTATAGTAAAAATAAAATAAAATTGGAAGGCAATAATATTTCACTGTACTACTAATCATTTTGAAGGTTTTCTTTTTTGGTTTCTTTGGTTTAGCTTGTAATCTTGTATGTGAAGCAAAAGATTTAGAAAAAGAAGTTTGCTTCATTATTGACTTACACTGTTGTAGCTATGTTATATGCAAGGTATGTGGCCAGGAATCTATTATTGGTCACCTTTATTACATGAAAGCATCTCCTTTCTTGGGGAACATAAGCTTTCACTCAAATTCATTTCTAAAGTATAACGACAAGGTTGTAGAGCAACAACATCAGGATTCTGAAAAGGCCCCATGTGCTAGTGGAGATGGCAATGCCAAAGTAAAGAGGAAAAAACTAAAGGGGAAAAGAGCAGTTGTAAGATGGCTGAAGTTTTTTAGATTTAAGAAGAAGAAAGAGTATGAAAGGATGACAGCTGAAGGAAAAATTTTATATAAATTGTTAAAGGTAAGTTCTATTTGTTTTATTTTAATTTACATATATTGATCCTTTCTATTGTTTCCAAATAGTATGATTATGCCGAGTCTTTCCTTTTGCACCATTGCCATCCTGTGCATGCTATATCTAGATACATTTGTGTTTCTATTTTGTATTTTGCATACTACACATGGCTTATATTTACTCTTTAGCGACAAGAACTGGGATCCTCACACTTTGTAACTGTGATCTGTAGACTAATGTTAAAGGTATGAATTTCTTAAAATAGTAAAGCTCTTGATGAAAATAAATCTATTGTTGTAATGTTGGGAAGTTAGTCATGCAATTTCTTGATTATGTATGCAAAAGCCTGTTGCTTAAGAATTCAACCAGAATACTAGAAGCCTTTCAAGCAATATTTTCTGCAAAGA